TAAATCCGAAGGTCGACGTATATTTATTGTAAATCCCAAAGAATCTACCAAATAATGGATGTCCCCACGAAATTGAAAGTGAAATATTATAGTATGTAGATAAAAAAGAAATCTATACTTTGCATTGATTTTTTTTTAATACCGGGTGCAACAAAAATACCTTCCCCATAATAAAACAGAACATCTAGGAGTCATACGTGGGAGGTATATCTGCCGCACCCTGTATAAAGACAACAAATTTATCAGCCATTATTGGAAAGTTTGGAAATATCAAAGGGCTTTACAAAGAAAATTTGAGTAATTGGGGAAAACAAGAAAAACCACTGGGTTAAATGCTGGAATACTGACTACCCTTAGGTACCCAGTTCAGGGGGTACTTAATAATCGATGATTTGAAATTTTTCTCAATATACAAAACAAATGGGAGATCTTAATAAACGGAGAGGAGGCTAGTCATTTAAAGTGTAAATATTGCGAAACGTGTTAGTAAATCCCCCCAAATAAACGCCACCCACCATTTATTAATCACCTAACATTCCTAGGTATAGCCACCAGATACTTGTCATGTGAAAATTCCATTTTAAAAAAAAAAGCAACAACGGCTCACTCTCCTTACTAAAACAACTTATATGACTATATGAAGAACATTTGAAGAGAGAAACGAATTATTAATAGTAGTAACGTCAATCTAAGTAAGTACCTAAATTAATTTTATCAAAGCGAAAAAAGACAAATGGAAGGGTAATTATTAGCTGTATATTCCCATGTGAAAAAGAAGGAAACACTTATGAGGAGAGACAGAGAGGGGGGATAGAAAATGATTTCTTCATAGGGATTCTACAAACAGGCAGTGATGTCTGGAGGAAGTGATTGGCTTGAAATTGTGCTAACATTAAAAAAAAATCATATTATATATGCACAAACCAGAAGTTAGTCTTTAAAATAAAAGTATTAAATACTCTGAGACAATGATATTTACAGAAAGGAATATCTATCAAATAATGAATAGAGCCATTCTACTGAACTCTTTCTAAATGGCCTTAGCTGTGACGTCTTGGGTATAACGATAAACTACAAGACCTCTGATCAGGAGGTTTTGAGGAACGTGGAACCACCTTTTAATTGCTGGTGTTCTCAGGTCCACCCTGACCCGGGGTGGTAGCACCTGTTAGGGTCCCAACTATGGGCAAATCGTTAACCTCTAAACTGGAGTCAAAACACTATGAAAGTGTAAAAATAAATTTTCATACCATCAATATATTTTTAAGAAAAAAAAATATTACCAACAATAAATATCTTGTCGGCATTAAATAACCCATTGAGGTTGATATGCCGTAAAACAAACCAAACCAAAGCAAACTTAGCTGTGAACTGAAAAACGTGAAGCAAGCGAAGTAAGAAACTGGTTACAAAAAATGTGCTAGAAGAATTGTAGCGCCGAGGTCAGTATTTTTTGTTGGTTGCTGAAAGTTTGAGTGGCCTCCATCGAGACGGAGTATTCCATCCATGTTAAAGACCAGATGTATCGCTAGAACAATTACAACTGAGTAGTGTGTTTGATCCTCACTGGGTGCCCCATACATTCGGCTTTGAGCCACATCGAATGCATAGAAAGCCCCCGTGTCAAACACCAGAGGTAGAGGACAACTAGAATCTGATTAGTTAATCGGTGAGATCACATTTTGAAGATAAGAGAAACTAAAAACCTAAACAAATACGCGGACTTCGGCCCTGGAGAACTGCGAGATGATCGAACATGACATCAAGTGCAAACACGCGTGTGTCAGAACAAGAACTATCATTGATTCTATTTCAAAAATGTCATTAATCTCAAAGTAGAGTCTGTGTATCAAAATAACTTGTGATGCATATGATGAGAGTAAATATATACAAATCATGCTGTTCGGTGGAATACAGACTATTGTTACGAATAACAGCAAAGAAAAGACAGCGGACTGATTTTGCTTGGTGCAAAGTGGGTTATAACCGCGTCGTAGATCCTGACTCATTCATCTTCTCAAAAGAGTTTTCTGTTGCAGTTTGGGTCTGTACTGTTTAGTTATTTATTAAAGTCACAGCCAAAATAAGATAGAAGAAAAAAATCTATTTTTAGCAGGGTTTGACTCAGGATAAATGTGTGATTCAAATGAATGGCAGAAAGTCATTCTGATCAGAACAGCCATTGTCAATTTTAAAACCGTCGCAATTACCCAGCCAGCTTCATGACGCAAATCAATGTTTTCACAGTAAGACTACTATTATCCAACATGACTAACATAATAAAATCTGAAATAGTATATTTAAAATTCTTGTCAATTCAAAGTTGGACAACTAAACATTGAAAACAGTTTGAGAAATTAATTGGTATTTTACTCATTTCTTTTGAACAGCACAGGGTGGAGATGATAAACTACTTTTACACGTGTTGCCTTTTGTATCTGTTTATAAAGAATTAGCACATATGCTAGGCCACAAAAATCTTCTGAGCCGATCAAGCATAGAAATAAATATAATATGGGAACCAGTAATAAGAGTGCCAGAGATAAGCAATAATAAAAAAAGAAAATTTGCAAGATGAGCTCTGGTAAAAAAAAAAAAATTGCAATGATAACAGCATAAATTGCAATATGAGCACTGGTAAAAAAAAAAGGTTGCTGAAGACATTAAGTTTATAAGTCCCAGAAATGCATACATAGATGTCCTTAAAGAGACATGGCACAAAGGCGTTAGATTCAGTGACAGGACCCAAAGATTTAGAAGTTCAATACCTGGTTAAAGCAGTGGAGAACTTGAAAAGGGGAGATAACTGATAACTGACATCCATTAGAAATGGTACGTGGAACTAGCACAGTCGACCCCAGTTAACGAAATAAAGGGTTCAGTTCGACATTCCAACCACCTGAAGAAGGCCGGAGCGTATAACGGTCGAAACGTTGTGACAAATATGGTAACAAAGATAAGGACAATAGACCGAATAATGTAAATAGTGTGTTGCTTTTTATTAAATTAGTCTGAATTCAAAAAACAATTTTGTGCGTAAAGCGGGCAACGTACATTAACTAAATTACCTACTAATGGTCAGGTTTGAATTGAACCAGTTAAATGTAGTGTTAAAGAACTTACACGTAAAAAATAATAATAAATAATAACATGTAGGGTTTTTAACTTTAAAAATCAGATCAGTTGAAAACCTTAAAGTGGCTTCCTCAACGACTCTTGATGATTTAGTGTGATTTTGCTACGAAGGCAAAATGTGTTTTGATTCATTGTGCCAACAGATAAAAAGAATGATTTCGCTTTGAGTTTGAATCTCGCGCATACAAGCTTGCATGGTGAATTTGATCTCGAAGTACTGATGGTGTTTTATTGAAAACATGTTGTCCAATTTTAACATTAAAATCAAAACTGATGACTAGGAAAAATCTAGGGTCAAAAACATTTTTTTTCAGTGTCCAGAATTTTGCAAAGAAGGAAAAACCTCAAATTGCACCTCAGAATCTATGTAGAAATTCAAAGAGCTTTAAGAATAAAAATTTAAAATTTACATGGATCTTTGGCTAGAGAAAAATTGTTGGATTAAAACCCAAATCATTTTGGCATTCGACTCATATGACGTTCAATAATTTAAAGATTGAAAACCATGATAGCTTGCTATTAAATTTGTTTCTCTGTAATGGCTTCAGATACGAAAATAAGATATACATAATACAAGAGATACATACTACCGACAGTTTTTCGTTTCTCTCTATCAAGCAAAGGCTACTGATCTTTCTTTCAGTCTCTTTCTCTCTCTCTCTCCCTCTCTCTCTCTCTCTATATATATATATATATATGCGTGTGTGTGTGCGTGTGTGTAGTATATAAAAGGTTAGTGGCCAGGTTTGAATTGAACCAGTTAACTGTAATGTTAAAGAACATACACGTAAAAATAATAATAAATAATAACATGTAGGGTTTTTAACTTTAAAAATCAGGAGATCAGTTGAAAACCTTAAAGTGGCTTCCTCATTATGCCATCTTCAGGAGATTTTTATCAATTGATTTCGCAGTGCTTTATTTTAAAATAAAACGAATGACCGTCAAAAAAATAATTAAACAAACGCACAGCGTTGGGTGTGATAGAAAGGGAGAAGGAGGGTGCAATGAGGAAAGAGAAGTAGAAAAGGGGGAGGAGGAGAAATGAAAGGGTGTTATATATTATATATAAAATATCGACAATATATATATATAAAATTATATATATATATAATATATATATATATATATATATATATATATATATATATATATATATATATATAATATTTAACCGGAAATCCTACGTAGCCTAACGGGTAAGAACGTCAGATGTAATGACCGTTCAGACGACGCACATATTCTGACAAGATTTCTCGAATATTCAGGCCGGTAAATGTAATAAAAAAAATACTGTTTAATTAAATAAAGAGAGCAAGCACTCGAATATGAGTATTCATCTAAAATAACGTGCAAGTAAAAAAATTAACGTATATATATATTTATATACTTATATATATATATATATATTTATATATATATAGACATGCAAATACACATACATATATATATATATATATATATATATATATATATATATATATATATATATATATATATATATATATATATATATGTAAATGTACACACACACATACATACATACACACATTTGTCTTGGCTATTTTTATTTTGCTTTTTTATTTTGGCCTGAAATCAACTTAAATTGCCATTGGCATGTTTCCTTCTACGATGCAAGTGTTGGGTAATTAGTAAAAAAATTTAAAATATAGACAAGATAGGCCAGGAAAATGAAGACATTAGGAAGGAAGGTTTAGGAAAAACGAAGAAAAAGGGGACATGAACGAAGCAAGTGAAAGACAGTCCAATCAAAATTTAATACATCAACTGCATTATCGAGAGTGTAAAGAATTAAACAGAATGAAAGATTTGAAATCGCCAGCAAAGTAAGGAGATGAACAAAACTAGAATAAAAATGACATTAAAAGACGGTAATGACAGATGAAAACAAAAAAAGAAAGAAAGAAAGAAAGAATGTAAATGTAAAAGGAAAGAAAGAAAGAATAATTATAAAGTAAGAAAGATAATAAGAAGAAAAAACAAGAAAGAAAGGATAAGAAAGAAAGAAAGAAAGAAAAGAAAGAAAGAAAGAAAGAAAGAAAGAAAGAAAGAAAGAAAGAAAGAGAGTAGGTCAGAAAAGAGAGAAGGAACATTGACCAAATTAAGGAAAGAAAAGAAAGAAGGAAAATAGTTAAGAAAGAAAGAAAGAAAGAAAGAAAGAAAGAAAGAAAGCCATTTATGCGGATCTGTTGGGAAGGCGAGTCGAGAAAAATGTTCCTGTCTGAAAGATCTAAAATAAGAGAAAATACGAGAATATAAATTGAAGCTGCTTCTTCCTTCTCATTTTGCAAGTCTTTTTTAAGCACGAGTCTCAGAATGAAAAACAGAACCTATCTGGATTTTAAAAATTTACGGCTGAAAATAATACGTAAATGAGAATCTCTTCCGTTTTAATTTTAAAATTTTCGCCGATTTTAGCTTTCCTTTTAGTTTTCACTCTTTTCTTTATTCCGTTTATTTTTCAGTTTTCTTCCCCCTCTACGGTCCTTCTACCGTTTCTTGAATTCCCGCCTTCTTAAGCTTTTTTTTTTTTGACTCTTTGCAGTTCGTAAATCACAGACAATAGCATCGATAGAGTGATTGAACAGAAGAGAAGAAAGGAGATAAAATATGATGATTCAATGGTGGCGTATTTGAAGAAGTGTGTTCCGTTTTTCGTCCTTGAACGTAAAATAATGTGAGAGCGAATGGCTTGATCTCCGGTCATAAAACCTGAAATCATGGCTTCTGTCCTGGTGCTTCATACCTACCGGCGCCAAAGATTAAAAAGCAACTTCGATGAACGTTTCAAATATCGATTGTGACGATACGCAGTTAAAAGTTAGCAAAGATTTTCCTTACGCAACAAAATTTCTTAGTATGCATTCACTCTATTTGATTTCTTGTGATGCCAAGCATCTCTATATATATATATATATATATATATATATATATATATATATATATATATACAAGTAATTTAAAGAAAAACAGACAAACTTAAGGCTCCATTTGTTATAATTTATTTCACCAAAGAATTTTATTTTTCTCTGGATCTTCAGACTTCACTTTCAACGGTGAAACGAAAAATGAATTTAAAATTTACACTTTGACGGGCAGTATTAAGCTTATATGAGTTGACATAGAGGGTGGTGAGGAATAGTGTAAGAGACATGGTCGAGTTTATTCGTTCTGACTTAACATTGAGCTCTCAGGATTTAATCTTTCTTGGGATTATCCATATGGATTACCAAAATTTTCGTTATTTATATATATATATATATATATATATATATATATATATATATATATATATATATATGTGTGTGTGTGTGTGTGTGTGTTGTGTTCACAATATGGTAAACAAATTTCGAGTAGCATAATAAAATTTCCCACCACCAAGTAAGTCATTTCTACTAAGACATATATTTAAATGATATGTGTATCATAAGCATTCTACCAACATCGATTGGTTAATACTAAGATTGACTTGCATAATAAAATCTGACATACCTTATACATTATATACATACATACATACATACAGGAGTGTATGCGAGTGGATATAAGTATGAATCGACTAAGATAAATATCTATAGATAAATATCTATAGATAAATAACATATAGCGTGAGGTGAAGAAAATTAGATAGATTAGAACAGACTGATAGATAGATAGATAGATAGATAGATAGATAGATAGATAGATAGACTGATAGGTAGATAGTATGAGTGCCTTTCAGTTCTGTTTCTATTTAAAGACTTGTGTCAATCACCTTTTCGAAGAGCCGAATAGAGAGAACCAAATGATCTTCCGTAATTTTTGAATTCAGATCGTCCTGCTATTTACCCATAGATTGTCAGGGGGGGGAGAAGATTCATACCTTTCTCAAGGGTATAGTACATATTTGAATGTCACGGGTTCGACTCGAACTCGGCTCTCCCATTCCTCAATCCGATCCGATCCGCTATCCATTACAATACTATTGGTATAACTTAGATGCTAACATGATTCCTTTACTTTTTAATGAAATTAAAAACAAAACACATTTTGGTATTTAAATAATAATTGTAATAATTCTATCAAAATAAACATTTATTTTAAAAAATGATTCCATATATGTAAGAAAAATTAAGGTGTGTATCTTTCTTCAGTGTGTGTTTGTATATATGTCTATGCGTCAGTATAATCACTACTGGTGACGCATTTCCTCAGCACTATCCCAGTCACATTCCTGATCCCAACCCTCCAGTCGATGAGTTAAGACTGCTACTATCTTTGCTTTTCGCCGGCTTGAAGTCGAACTAAATTCAATTTGCCCGACTAAATTGATACACTCCACTAAAAACAAAAAAAAAACAAAAAAAACTAAGTTTTTTACCGTACGGAATAAAATATTTAAAATGGACATATAAAAACCATAACCTGAAATAGGAATATTTTCTTTGATAAACAAGGTATACAAGTCATTAGAAAATTTTTTTGAAAAGGTTATTTATAAAATTAAAGCAAGAAATACATTGCCTATATGAGTATGTATCCAATTTGAAAAGCCTCACATCTACACAGCCGGACCTAGCCACGTTAATTTTATATTTTTCACTTTATTTCTTTCGTTCTTCTTTATTATGAAAAATTTCAACGAAATGTTTTTCTGTCAATATTTTGAGGCATGGAGTTAATCTTGGATACAGCTAAAGTCAAGAATGAATACGACACATTACGAATGATTTTTGTTGCTTAGAACAGATATAACTAAATGTTAATTCACTAGAGCTACGACCGACAAGCCAAACTTTCAAGGTCGCTACTGATATATAAATGTTAGCACTTTTAACAGTTATTTTTACTGGCTACTCACATTTGAAAATTATATATTCAAAAGTACGTTTATTTATTTTCGTCTACCGTCCTGAATATTCATAAAATCATATTAAAATCCTGCGGAATATTGAAAATATGAGTATCTAATAAAGATAACGATTAAGATATATATATATATATATATATATATATATATATATATATATATATATATATATTTTTTTCATGTTTATACATTCTTTTTATAGATACAAATATTTAAGTTACTGCTCTGTTTTATAATAAACAGTAAAAAAATAACATTTACCGGCTTGAATGTCCGAGAAATTTTTATAGAAAAATTTTCATTTTACTTAAATATCTGTATCTATAAAAAGAATGTATAAAAATGTCTTAAAATAATTGTCGAACTTTGTCCATTTCATTATATATATATATATATATATATATATATATATATATATATCTTTAAAGTATATTCAGGCAGCCACGTATGACGGACAACGAAATTTTTTTTATTTATTTATTTCAGCATTCGTACATTTTTCCGCCCCTGTCGAGTCCTGTATCATTTAAGGGGATGCCTTTATCTAACATGTGTTCTGGATGAGGTCAACAACTTAGCTTAAGAACAAATACAAATGAAATTAAAATCATTAAACACTCCCGAAAATCACTACTATTCGACTATGAAGACGCATGGATAAAGAAAGAAGGGGCATTTGACGCTACAATGGGAATCTTTGACTGTGCAACGACCTACAAAGTATATATTAACTGCACGAAATAAGTAAAACGATAGATAGAAATGACATAGGACTCTACAGGGATGATGGTCTCATAATCTTATGAAACTATAACAAACAAAACAAAGTCAAAACTAGAAAAGCAATAATAATGTTTTTCAAAAATATGGGAACAGACATAGACATAAAAACTAACCAAAACGAAGTAGGTTTTTGTTGTGGACCCAGAAGAGGTCCGAAAGAAAACTCGAACTCAGCAATTCAGTGAAAACGTATTATTAAGAAGTAAGCTAAGTACAGTAGTCAACTCGTCCACTGTCTACAGTCCTCTTGCGAGGCATAATATAGTCATAAGACAAGTCTATTTTGTCCATGAAGGTAGGTCCTCATAACAGGTTTCTAGATGTCACCTTCAACCTAAGAAAAGATGCATATCAACCATAGAGAAAACCCAATGATAAACCAGTGTATATACAAACATCTTCCAAACAGATGTCATCTATAATCAAGCATATACCAAAATCAATTAATCGCCGGCTTTCCGACAATTCTTCCAATGAAACTATATTCAACGAACTTAAGAAAGACTATGAAACAGCCCTAAAAGATAATGGATTCCCGGCACATAGACTTTATCCCATTGATATAGCACACCTTAAAATTATATTTCTTCATTTATATGATAAAATATAATTTGATGGTATTGTTATATTAAGGTTATATATATATATATATATATATATATATATATATATATATATATATATATGTATATATATGGATTAAATTGTATGTAAATATAAAAATGTACATTCAAGCCAACACCCAGAGACAACATTAATATTATTAATATTTCAAACTAGACCACTCGTCAGCCTCTGACGATTGCGCTTAGCATGAAACAGACAGTGGCATTTGGGTGTTGACTTCCACTTTTGTCACACTTTTGTACACACATATCATATCTATCTATCTATCTATATATATATATATATATATATATATATATATATATATATATATATATATATATATATATATATATATATATATATATATATTCCAAAAATATGATTCCAACCCGCGACATAAAAGGTCTCATGTTTCAAGACAAGAGCCGAAAACTTCAATATAATTGAAATCAAGATTTATTCGACCTAGCTGTTACCATGGAAAATTTTGATTTCAATTATTAAAACACGTAAATTTCAGAAATACGTTATTCCAAAAGAAATTTCGCTTGAAGATGGAACAGAGCTTACTTTAACTCAATTTAATTCAAATAATTATATTGAAGTTTTCGGCTCTTGTTTTGAAACATGAGACTTCTTATGTCGCGAGTTGGAATCATATTTTTAAATAAATAATTATATTTATGCTCTACTTTTGTATCGAGCACTATTTTTAAAAAATAATAACTAAAATACTAAAGAACTTTGGATTATTTACCTAACCAGTTCCTTCCTATTTTCTATATATTTTCACACACATATATATATATATATATATATATATATATATATATATATATATATATATATTTCTTTTATGGTCTATATATATACATGGTGGACTCTCATATTGTGAAGTATAATTGAGCATTGGATGGTGCCTTTTTTTTACACTTGTGAATGCTATCAGGTTCTATTGTGGAGAAAATCAGGTAAGGAAAAGACATATTTGATTTGTGCTTTCTTAAGTGTGATGTTATCCCCACCTTACTGCGCTCTACAATGCCACACTGACAGATGAAATTTGTTAAAGCAGGATTTTGATGGCTTCTCTGCTTCAGAGCTTGACGAAGCAGATCACGGTGCTTCAGTCTACTGTTTAAAAGCCTTCAACTTAATGAAACTTAAACATGTCAGATGCCACTTCTTTCGGATTGATGCTGGGCCCTCCCAGGTTTTCAATTTTGTCTTTGTAGCGTAAGAAAGGACGTCCATCTGAACACTTGGAGTTTTGTAGTTGTCCTTACAGTACCTGCTTTGGAAGCCAATGCTCATCCATTCCCACATGAACAAATATATATATATATATATATATATATATATATATATAACCTTATAAATGTAAGCAGCTATTCTCGTCCTGCAAAACCTTAGGTGTTTTAGCTTCTAAATGAACAAACCAATACCCAAGGGAGAAAAAGGGGGGAAAAAAAAAAAAAAAAAAAGAACATGTACTTCCGGCGAAAATAATCGTCTAGATTCTAAGTTCAGAGTCCAAAGAAAAAAAACCTCCGATATGAGTAAAGTAAAATAACTAAACAAAGTACTCGTTACGCTAAGTAGTGCAAAAATAAAATAAAATAAACCTAAAGAGCCAAACTAACCTACCTACCTACTGGGTAAGTTAGTCTGGCTCTTTAGGTTTATTTACTGATATATATATATATATATATATATATATATATATATATATATATATATATTATATATATTATATATATATATATATATATATATATATATATATATGTAAAAAATTCGCTGGATTTTGGTAGTAATTTTTTTTTTGTATTATTTTCCTAAAGACGAGCGAATGTACCTTGTTAATTATATTTTATTTATTTTTTTATGTTTTAATTGCCACTTTATATTTGAAGATTTTTTTTCGCATATCTGAATACTTTCGGCTAGTTGAAGACATTTCAAAGACAGTATCGGGAATACACCTAATGCGATATTTAAAAGTTATCACGCGAAATGTGATACATAAAAAAAGATATGGACAGCAAGCACCAAAAGTCTTTGAAAATGGATAAGATTATATCTTATTTCTTTTTGCACTCACCTATTGCTTGCCCTGCTTCCAATGAATCATTCCACTAAACTGACCAAAATTGAACTCCGAATAGATATGCCCCCAAATTTCGTAGACCTAGACAGAGAGACAACATTCTACACACGTAGATATATAAATGGTTCACTTCAGATGTTAACCAGATCGATAGAAAACAGCCGTTAAGCTATAAAGGCCGAAAAAAGATAGGGATATTGGTCGTTATTAAATATGACAAGACCACGATCTGAAGACAGTTTACTGTACTCTTAACCACTAAGCATCTTCCCAGTGCAGTAGTTAATGTAACAGTCTAATTAAGTATTCATTTTAAGTTCGAGTCGTACGAAATGCTCCTCAATTATGAGCTTGTGTTCAGGTTAACTTGGTCCAACTCTCTTCTGCTAAGCTGTAAAGGCAAATGGCGGAAAATTTATGCTGGATTCGTTAAGGAACTAAGATTTAAACGCTATAAATAGTTATGAATGTTTAGTAGGCAAATAAGACGAAACAGGCGTCCTCCCTTCGAAAGCGAGGTTAATAGCAGTAGAGGGTCGTCTAATGCTGGGAGTTCGTTCGACCAGGGACCCGATAGGCAGATAGAGAAATGAGCGTTGATTTTATCGAAAAAAATCTGCATTTATATGATTTCCTGTGAATAGTTTGGCAAGACGAAATGCAAATCCTCTATTGCCATTTATTTAAAAGAGTTCGCGGATGGATTTCGTCCTCCATGTTGTTTAGTACTTGCTAGAAGTCGTTATAAAATGTCTCTAATGATATACATGATTACGACACAGCCGGTCAGCAAAACCTAGCTACCGCCATGTCATATTATTAATTGTCAATGCATAGGATGCATAAAATAGTGCCAAAACTTTCTAAATGAAACATTTCAAAATTTGTATGTAGAAATGTCACCATGGGGATTTGTATTCATTATCTTTTCTTTCATAGCTTTTGAACAATGACATTCATTATTGCTTGCATTGGATAGCGAAATATTTACATAATTTTAACGTTTCAGAATATTTGTAGCAAAAGCGACTCAGAAACATGAACACTGTTTCGATGAGGAAGAAACTAATTTTTAGTATTCTAAGAGGCTCTCATGAAAGCACAATATTCTTCTTATTCTTTTATGGGCCATGTATCTCTTAATAAATTTTGTCTTTTTGTTATCTCTCCTAAACCTTGTTCCGACATCCATTTACTCAAGCTCACTAAGTAGGTTATGCGTTGTTTTCCTCTATCCCTCTTGCCTTCAATCTGTCCTGTGAGTACCAGATTCCCAAGCCATCTTTCCTCATTATCTGCCTTTTTCGTCATTTTTTTTTTCACTTTACACTCATTTCTTGATATTTTCTCTTTTTCCTCTTTTCTTTCAATTGTTGCCATTTGACTTCTGGTTTTCTAGACGTGTTGTCGTTATATTTGGGGCGTTCCAAAGATTCAATTGCTAAAACCATTCATTAGCCTGAAGAAGACCTTTCGTAGGACGAAACACCAGACGTAGCAATCGTTTTCCCTTTTGTCATTTGGTCACTATTAGTCTGACATACATGGTTGCTTGGTTCTTTTTAATAGTGTAATAGCTGTTTTAAAACTTATTCTGATTATTTTTTCTTCATCAGTGAAGAAAAGATAATCAGAATAAGTTTTAAAACAAGCAAGCTAACCTCAGCATATAAAAAAAACGCACGATGTAATATTTACTGTTAAAAGCAGAGAATGGTGATTTCTCAGTTTCTGAAAGTTGCATGGTGGTTGGTTGTCAAATTTCGAAAAAAGATCTGGAATCCACTGACGCGAGTTCTACAGTCGTAGCCAAACGTAAATCACCTGCTAAGACTCCTAATACTATCAAAACACCTCAATTTTTTACGAAATTATCGATAAGAACCCTAGAAAGTCATTTAACACCATTAGTAAGGCGCTTAGGTTTGACAAGCTGTCTATCGGAAGAATTGGCCATAAGGAGCTTTGATACACGTCATATGTGATTCGAAGCGGCCATTTTATATCTACAAAGACAAAGATAACCGTATGGTCGGCGCAAGGCGCTAGTTGATCAAGTTCAAACATCAATAGACTAGAATATTCATGTTTAAGAACGGTGATTTGTGTACCGTTATCAACTTCGAACCAGCACCAAAAAAGGACATCCAACATCCGCAGCAATTCTTTGAAATAACGATACACTCTCTCGAAGGCTCATAATCCGATTCTATTCAAGTGAATCTGATCAGACAATAGAAGTACATGTAGGTGAGAAGACATCTGCTTACAACTAGCCTCTCTCACTTCATTGAACTTTATGTCAACGACTAAAACCCCGACACAGAAAGTTCACTGGTGCAAGTAGTACGACGTCAGAAGCTATGTTATCTGAATATCTACATCCCACTTGTATGCATCAGGTCGAAATCTGTGTAGGTCTTCAGTGTGTTGCAATTTTATTTTCCGTTAGTTTATGTAAATTAATGAAATTTTGCGGTTAACTCTTTTTCCTACGAGCAAAATTTCGAATGTCTTTAACGATAGAATACATTCCACTGGGATATTCGCTCTTCACGATTTTTGCTTCTCAAGAAAATAAAAGAAAAAAATCTTTGCTTGTTAAAAAGAATCCGATAAACGCAAGTGATATAAATATCCGTTTTACATGTTAATAGATTGAAATTCGATTTAATACAACTTCGAAATGTAATTCATTTACTTTTGCTTTGTTTATTCAATTCTATTTTCATTGGATTCTCTTGTAACGATAAATATGCGTATTTTGATATTTTTTTTATTATGAAAACAGATATGAGCGACAAATTATCTGTGTAGGCTGCCGCATCAAGATTTTACAGGTATGCAAATACTCTTAAGCAATCTAATAAAAGAAGATTATGTACATAAACCTTTCTGTCAAAATTATCTTTTTTATTATTATTGTATTTCACTTCAGTATCTGTCTATCTTCCTGTGCCATGTGGCCTCAAGGACAAATGACACAGTGGATAAAGGCGTTGGTTAGATCCAGTAACAGGATCCAAAGAGTGTGAGTTCAATACCCGGTTAAGGCAGTTAAAAACTTGGAGAGGGGAATTAACAGGAGATAACTGACATTCATTAAACATGGTACATGGAACTAGAACAGTCCACCCAAGTGATTGAAATAAAGGGTTCAGTTCGATATTCCAACCAACTTAGGAAGGCCGGAGCCTACAACAGGCAAAACGTTGTAATAAATATGGTGACAAAGATGAGGACAATAGTCCGAATAATGTAAATAATGTACATAATACCTCATCTCAGAAATATAGACAGATACTGAAAGGCCGAAACTCTGTAATAAATGTGGCGACAAAGATGAGGACAATAGTCTGAATAATGTAAATAGTGTACATAATACATCATCTCAGAAATATAGACAGATGCTGAAGATTTTTGATAAATATTTTTTTAAATAAATTATATTTGTATTTACATACTTTTGATAAAACATATGTACGTTCTGATCATTCAGGGACACGTCACAGTCATTTGAACATATTAAGTCCTGATAGTGTTCTCTTTCGATCTTTTATATTTATTGTCAAGATCTATCTGCTCCCGTAGATGATGACTTATTCAATTAATCTATATTATAAGAAAAGAGCTTATTCTTTGTCCGTCACAGATTGCCTGTGTGTGACTTTGCATACGTTCATCAAATGTATATGCCTTTGTGCTGTGTTGTGTATGATGCATGTTGTACCATTTCCTTCATACGCACATACACAACCTAGGGAAGGTTACTGAACAGAATAATCACAAAAAGGTTGGTAATGAATGATAATACTTAGGACAAGAACAACACATATAAGAATCGAAAGTGGCGCGTAGAAGAATTAGTCAACTGCTAGAAGTGAGTCAAGTGAATTTCACAATGAATCTCCAGATACTAGATATCTACTAACCGCTCCACCCGGTCAGATGTGTCACAAGGCCGAATTTAATGCGGGGTATCCGAGCCTGTAGGCTCGGCAAAAATTCCCCGTAGACCCCGTATAAAACAGGGTCGAGTAGATGTTTCTCGAGACGAGTCTCTCCCCTTCGAGATAGCCTCGTCTGTGGATCCTCTCTGCCCGGAGTCAGAGAGTTTGACAAGCACAGGTGGAGACGAATCTCCAGCTGCAGACCAACATACAGTATTTACTACTGAATTTTGTGAATGGTGACATACCCATTATCGTCCGTATGTATGCTACAACACAAACATATGCACACTAAGTTTGAAATAAGATATTAAAATAATGCATTCACCTCCTACTTAGTCTGGGCAACGTATACTCTGGTCTGAGCTATAAAATCAAAATAATATAAAACATATAATAATATTAAAACGAAAAAATAATATTTTTTCAACGTTATAAAATCAACTTGATATATTGAAATTTTCGGAAGTTATTCGGCAATATTTTTTTTTTTAATCTAGCGGAAATATTTTGTCTGCTATTAAATTAAAATATACATGTGCACGCTCAATCGTATATGACTATACGATTTAAATAAAATTGAAATTAACAACTGTATTGTGTATCAATCTCTGTCTGTCAACAATTCTTGGATAACAGGAAAAGAGTTTTTTTTTTTTTTTTAAGTCGAAATATGCGGCCATTTGAAGTCACTTTTATGACACCTTAACTGAATATATATTTCGGATAAATTTATTTTAAATTGACAAAAAGAAATTAGATTTGAAAACATGCTACTGGTTAAACAACAGATACCAAACCCAGTCAGTGAGTTAAGGCCCATCATATGCCTTTCGATTCATGACTGACGAGGCAGAAGATTTTTTCCGCAGTAGATTGATATTTCTTTCTGCAGTAAACTGGTTGCCTCCGAAGGCTGCAGGAACCAGTCTGTCCTGATATTCAACCCATAGCTGGAGGGGAAAAGAGATAGACTCATACCTTTCCCAAGAGCATTTGTGCGTAATGAATGTAAGGCAATCAAACTCGGCTCTCTGTCTTCTCATTAGGAGCCGTTATCTAATTCATCCCAACGCATACCCCGAACTAGTTATCTTAAAAAATATAAATATATAGGAACAGGGTAAAAGGTGATGCTGGAATAAAATAAATTGTCTAAAAGAAGAAATACAAGAAGATTATTAGTAGAAACAAGAAGCAATTTTACGTCAGATTAGAACATATTTTTAAAAATGGTTTACCAGCACATGAGCATTATATAAATTTTGATTCGCCATAAACATCAAAATTACACACTTCTGATTTAGAATTGCATACATGCACTCATAGAAGTTGTCAAATGCTGACGCCCACACACCGGTACAGATATGCGATTTTAGCAGCTACTAATGCTTGCAGACACACTGATGTCACGTCTCACGTTTCGCAACAGCTAACAGTATATTTCCTTGGGGCCAGGTAATAGCTTCTAGGTATACATCAGCTCTAAGTAGACAAAATATAGGCTGAGGTGGAGAGCTCATAAATTATTAGCTGACCTCAGAGAGCATGCTGTAGGATTAAAATGAATGGGTCGGGTAAAGTATGATGAGTAGAAAGTAGATAAATCAAGACGGATGAATCATCAATTCGAATTGCGGGTCATAGCTTGGAGACAGCCATATTGAAGAACGTATGTCACGTGGTGTGACGTGAAAATGAAAAGGATAGAAGCAAGAAAGCATGTGGCTGGAAAAATTCGCTTTTGGATCAAGTGGAATGATCTAGATTAAGTTGTAACAATAGGAATAGAAGAGAAGATAGATAGATAGATAGATACATAGTTAGATAGATAGATAGATAGATTGGAACAGAACTAAAAAATTGAAAATTGAACAGACTATAATTTTAAAGAGTTTTTGGGCACCCCGAGAACGTTTCAGCAACAGCGTATGTATATATGTAAAGAGGGGTGGAATGTAGATAGATAGATAGATAGATAGATAGATAGATAGATAGATAACAGAACTAGATAGATAGATAGATAGATAGATAGATAGATAGATAGATAGGAACAACACTAGATAGATAGATAGATAGATAGATAGATAGATAGATAGATAGATAGATAGGAACAGAACTAGATAGATAGATAGATAGATAGATAGATAGATAGATAGATAAGAATGGATAGATAGATAGATAGATAGATAGATAATAGGAACAGCATAGATAGATAGATAGATAGATAGATAGATAGATAGATAGAAACAGAACTAGATAGATATATATAGATAGATAGATAGGAACAGAACTAGATAGATATATATATATAGATAGATAGATAGATAGGAACAGAACTAGACAGATAGATAGATAGATAGATAGATAGATAGATAGATAGATAGATAGATAGATAGATAGATAGATAGATAGATAGATAGATAGATAGATAGGAACAGCACTAGATAGATAGATAGATAGATAGATAGATAGATAGATAGATAGATAGATAGATAGATAGATAGATAGAATGTATTGGTGTTGTGCTAGTTTTTCAAGATTAGTCGATATTTAAAAATCAAAGATGGGGTTGGTAGTCATACCGAGTCCAGCGCAGCTGATGTACAATTTCTATATTTGGCCCGAGTGTATGCGCTCGGGTTCCACACGTCAAAACCCGACTTTGTTTGATATCACGTCTCTGCGCAATCAGAATCAACGTTGTGTTTAAGCAAGCGAATGAGCCAATTGGTGTAAAGTGCCATGCAGATTTAATTTTTTCCAACTTGTGACGAATGCAGCTAATGATTTTCTTTGCATGCTAGCATGCTAGTTAACATTCGTGTCAGTCAGCTGTTGTCTCTCACGCTGGCCAATAGAATCTTCCTGCCTATTCGTGGCAGACAGCTATTGGCATTCAAACTACATGAAAAGTGCCGTAGAAGCATGAAACAATGGATTATTTCCACTATCGATGGAAGTTGGGAAATGCAAAGTGGGTCTTGGCCTTTCCGCATTCGTTACACACACACACACACACACACACACACACACACACAACCTGCCTTTTGTAGATAGAGATTTGTAAGTATTGCTAGGTACATATGATTGTATTTGACATCTTTATGGGGGTCGCAATCGCCGAATGTTAGTGACAAGTTGTCGTATGTTTGTTTCCATTTTCTCCAAAACCTTGTTGTTGCTCACATGTTCTGTCTATGGTATCCTCAGCATCTTTCTGTAGAACCACATTTCTGTTGCTTCAAGTCTTTGAGGAGATTGTCCATCATTCGCTGCCATACGGGAGAACAGATCTCACGTGATAGTGCAGTACTTCTTTTCTGTGTAGCTTAGATATGGCACAATGTAGAAAAGTAAGGACACCCAGTGAGGATCGAACTCACTACTCAGTCTTAATTGATATAACAAGACAAGTTTTCTAACAATTACATCCCGTCGAAGTGTCCATCAATGATTTTTCTAAACTTAGCTTAGATGTGGCACAAGGTCAGTGTGTGGAGCGCCCACTCGGACTTACTGCTCAGTCGTAATTGATCTAACGAGACAAACTTGCTAAAAATTATACCGCGTCTAAGTGCCCTCACTGGTAAAGATACGATTCCATCTCTACTCCCTCTATAGATTATTAAGACATGTATCATTAAATTATTATCATCTCTCCCCGCTAAAACATTCTTACAATCTAAAAAATATAATTCCTGTCTTTAAATCATCTGCCAAGGGTTGGTAAGCCGTAAAAAATGAATCAAATCCAGAAAGCTAAAATACAAATATAATACGTCTTTAAACTTTTTCTCTTTCACTTTATTTATCATTTGAGTGAATGAATATTTTGCAAATTTCTTTAATAGGTGCTTTCAAAGTTGTTCTTTTTCTTTCATGTGCCGTGTCCATTCAAGGCGTAAGCGATCATGGCTCTCCACATCTACCTGTTTCTTGTAGCTCTTATTAAGTTTTCTCTTTTTATTATTTCCCGAAACCTCTTCTACCAGCCATTTACTAAGTTTATCAAGTATGTTACACGCTTCTTTTCTCTACCCCTCTTCTCTATATCTGCCCCGTGAGTATCAGATTTTCCAAGCCTTCCCTCCTCATTATGTACCCCAGAAATTTCAACTGCCTCTTCCTAATGTTAAGTATAAGTTTCCTTTTTGTTTCCACTTTCTCCAAGACCTCGCTGCTCACATATTCTGTCCATGGTATCCTCAGCATCCTTCTGTAGAACCACATTTCTGTTGCTCCAATTCTTTTGAGGAGATTGTCCATCCTTCGCTGCCATACGGGAGGACTAATATCACGTAATACTTCAAGACTTTTCTAACGAATTTTTTCTGTCTCTTAATACTCTGCTTAGCTTTTGAAATGCATCTTTGGCCACCCCAATACGCCTTTAGATCTCAGTGTCACACTTTAAGTCATCTATTAGAAAACTTCCCAGATATTTATATTGTTTTACTTGTTTGATTTTATTACAATCAATTTGTAATTCGGACTTTGTTTGTGATCCGTTAATGTGTATAACGAACTGAGACGTCTGTGTTCTTTGCTTCGCGGTGAATGGGTCAAAGTGTTCACAAATTAAGCCACTTGGTGTTCCACTATACTATTTTTCAAAGACTATTTCTTGAGCTATATTCACTTCCTCTGTGTAATCAAATAGGTGGGCGGAACGCTATCGTTGGTCGGACACGGTTTATAACAGTCCTGAAAACGGAATCAGAGACCTGATTTCAAAATTTATTACCTACTCCAGATATAACCTTCGTTATCATATCCTGAAGAAAGGCATTAATCTAATTATTATACTACCTCGTTTGATTGTCAGTTCTGGAGTGTTGGACTTGTGATTGATATACTACCGTAAAAGATAGAAAGCAGACAATTTCCAGTTCATTTTTGTTTTATATGTTCGCTTAGAATCGATGAAAATTCGACAGCAGAACTTTTCAAGACGAGAAAATGAAGTCATTAATAAAAAAAATATTTATGACTTTGAATAATGACAAATTCAATTGAGTATGTATTTACATATGAAAAATGATCGTCTACTTGAGAAGAAAATTATGCTTTCGAAAAGTATTTATTTTCTTTCGCAAAATTGTTTCTCACCATTGCTGCCATACTTGTGGCATTATCCTCAAGACAAATTACTGGTTTAAAGAAATCACTGACTTACCTTCTTTCAGTGGAATACTTTGGGCTTATCTATTCTTTCAAATTGATTCATGAGTAAAATTATTGCTACATCGGACACCACTAAAAAATAATTTGATAGAAATTAAGAAGGATTAAATGTGTCGGAGTTACCTCCTCCTTAATTTCCAAATTCCCCACCAGGGGTCTCTTTCCTGCTATAAATATCGGGCGACCTCTTGCCTCGATCTCTTCTTGCCTTCAGGCCTCGTGCCAAATCCCACCCCGTGTGGAGGTGAGGTAAATCTCTCTTCCTTCTTCATTTCAACGACAAGATGTAAGCTCTTAGAAGATCAGCGTTTCCCATTTCTGGGAAAACGCTAAGAACATTACAAACATTCACCACAATACGTACACTTACGAACTTCTCCAAAATAACATTCACCAAAATACGAACGTTCACACACACACACACAAATGTTCACACACAAACACAATATTAACTGTCTATGTGCTTTGTAAATGTTTTGTTTAATACATATATTTGTTTATATATATATATATATATATATATATATATATATATATATATATCGGTCTTGTTTGTTTGTCTTCCTTATCTTCAGTTGGACTTAATCCAAATCCGACATTCTATTGTAGCTAGACCTTCTTGCAGGAAATATAAACGCATGTTTTTTCTTTACATCTTCACTCCCCGGTATTTTTCTATGTAATAAGTCGTATGTCTATAGGTATTTACTTGTTTACTTTAATCAAAATGAATTTAAAGAATAATCACACATACACATACATACACAGACACACACACACAGACACACACACACATATATATATATATATATATATAGGTAGATACACATAGATATCTACAAATATAGAGAATGTGAAATAACTAACGAGATATTACCAACTGTATATTCGTACGATAGCGTGCATACACAGATATGCAAATAAATATTTAATTTAATTTATGGTGCAAACAAAATCAGTTTGCTCAATGTAGCCAAACAGAGCTATGAAGTATATATTAATAAATATACATATGATTACAATAAAAATACAATACTATAAAAGTCGTATAATGATTACAAATGAATTACTTAATGTAATTGTTTTGTTTTTTTTGTTTTTTTTTTAAATACTGTGTTTACTGAGAGGAACGCTAAATTAAACACAGATTCAAAGCTCGAAGTTAATATAAACTTAATATATTATTGGGATGTAAATTCAAAATATAGTGTGGACATAAAACAATTAAAAAATTTTCTAATTAAATAATATCAATTTTATTGCATTTTTTACGAACAATGTAAATAGTGTAAATACTTACAATAATTCATCTCAGAAATATAGACAAAATCAACGAAACATGTTTGAAAGAAAAGTTACCGAGTGATTAGAACGTTCACTTTCTGACCATGAGACCCCTGGTTCAACTCTCACCATGGGCGATTTGTCAGCAAACCATACACAAGCCTTGTGAATGAAATTGGGTAGACGGAACTCTTGGAGACCATCGATAGTTGTGCTAGCACAAAGCCACAAGTCATCGTGGCTGAGGGCTTGAGCGTGCTGGCCTTATTTAAATTGTTGATCACGCTAGATACACGTTCGATCCCAGAAACTGTACTCTGCACAGTCGCGGTATAAACCACAGGTGGGCTCTGTGGGTGTTGAGAAAACGCGTTTGCCTGAGCGAGCGTCTGCAATAAGGATTGGCTAGCCGCCCTATTTGACTGGTATCGTCGAATACGAATGGCCAGCTATTATATATATATATATATATATATATATATATGATAATTGATTGTGTTAGCTAGGCAATAACACGCTTTCTTCAATAATAATTGATATAGCTAAATCAATCAAGCAAAAGAAGTCTTATAAAATAAGGGAGTGTGAGAATACCATGGATTGAACTTATGAGAAATGAGTAAGTATTTCTATGAAAATGGAAGCAAAATGGCCGCTTATACATCGAATGAGAAAGATAGACTTGAAATTTCTGAGACACATAATGAGAAAAGACAGCTTGAAAAATTTGGCACACACAAGACGTACTGGATGCAACAGACACCGAAAGAAACTGAATAACTTACCTACTATGTTTAGTAGAAAATGAGGAAGGCATAGTAAAAACACAAATATCAGTAAGAGCTACAAACGATAGTAAGTTGTTGAGAGCCATGATCACCCATCTCCTCATAGAAAGTAAGGAAGACAATTGAATAAATTTCTACCAAGACAGAATGCCACATATCTACTTACGGTCACTCTACTAAATATGCGCAAAATCGTCACGCAAGCAATCGTGATTTTCATCGCATATAACAACTATCAATTATCCTTTGAAGAAATGACATTTTTAAAT